TGCGTCTTACGTTTGATGGCGTCTAATAATCGATATGTCTAATAATCGATATGACGTCTTTTTTCCTAAAAATCGATCACTAAATCAATGGTGCGTCTTACAATCGATGTCGTCTCAAAATCGATAAAATACGATATATTCCTTTGGTTACGTAAGAAAGTTGACAGGTGGAGCGTGGAATGAGAGATTATAACAATACATTTATGAGACTATCTTGAAAGAGGGTGATTGTGAAATATTTTAATATTCCTGGAGAGCCTCTTGAAAAGCACGAAAGCTTCTGAAAGTGGTCGTCGACAAATAAGGCCGAGATTCGAGTCACGTTCTTACCGAGCACAAAGCTCGAACGTTCTTGGTGTATGTTGTTGATAGCTTCTGTGCGTTTTACCCCGTTTTACTCATCCTAGTTTATGTTCACTTTTGATAGAAACAAATGAAAAACACTCGTTTTATCGGTGAACTTTCGGAGAAGTTTAGTCCAAGAGTTCGAGTAAATTCACGAAGAATCTTGGAACATCCAAACAGAAGACCAAGCAGCTTCTGACGGAACGAGCAAATCTTTTGGTCGCCTCGTTTATTATTCATATAATTATGACAACATTTGAGCTACTATTACTTCGTAACTGCTACAAAAGAACATTTAACTGATTAAACGAATATTGGTAAATAATTGGAATAATCTTGTACTAGGTCCATTTAACACACACCGCCAAACTTTTATTCGTACTTATCAAACGGGGAACAAATTAAATTTAACCTGTAACAGAGATGTTTTTGGGAAACTTCAGACTGTCTAAACACAAGCGAAAACATTTTTTTTTAAAAAAAATTGTCTCACGTTAATTATCACGACTACAGCAAAACTGTCCTTGGTGCTTAACTTATCATTAAATTATGCAGACGTATGGGGGCATGGAGGAAAAGCTCGTTACATTTTAACCTCGACACTAGATAAAAAAAACTACCCGAAGATTCAACGTGACCAATACCAAAACTCGCCATTGGTACAATCCTGTGCCAGTTCCAAGAACCTCCCATCCTCAAAAATTTTCTTTCTAAGGCCTGTCTTAATAGCATCTCCCCATCTGATTCTCAGTCTTTCAATTGGAGGTTTTTCGAGGGGTCCTAGACCAAATTCTGTATCAGCCACGTGCCTACACCACCCGGGCTACAAATCCATTTCAGTGACGTAATAATACCAGGTGGGCGACATGTTATAAATGTGAAACTTTCTGAACAACAAATTTTGCCCTGGAACAACTCTGCAATACGATGGCCACTGTCGTCGAGTTCTTAGATTTAGACTATCAAAAAATTCTTACGTACTCAATCCAAAAACCCGTTCCTAAAATCCGAGTCGTCACAGTGGGCGTGAGAAATGTTTCACAAATTGTAACCGTAAAACCTGAAAGAACAATCTCACTCGAAGAACTTCGGCGATGATGGGAGGATAACATTAAAATAGATCTTACAGATAACAGCGGGCTCTTGTGAAGAAAGCAATAAACCTTCTAATTCCACAGAAGGTGGAAAATGTGTTGAGTAACTACGCGATTGCAAGAATGACTCTGCTTCATGCAAATGGTTGGCTGGTTAATTAGTTCCAACATAAACCGTAGCGCTGTGTTGTTGAACATTTTCAGAGGCTTACCTAGCGACATCAGTCCGCTGTTCAGCATAGACAGTTTGATGGTGTTCGGGATGGACACTAGGGAGGTGCTCCCGCCGCTGAGAATTTTCTTCTTTTTTGGTTTCTCCGCGTCGGTGTATCGCGTTGTGGAGCGTGACCGGTGCTTGCGGTGGTGATGGTGATGGCTGGTGCCACCACTACTAGCGGCCCCCGCCGTGGTGCTAGTTCGCGCCGACAGCTTGTCGCCTGTTTTGATTCGCTTGTAACAAAAAAAACGAGAAACGCACGCCGTACGCGAGTCGATACACTACATGCAGTAACCTACACACTGACAGCTCCTGTACCAGACTGAGCTCTCTGGTCTACTTCCTCCCCACCACGCGCCACTGCACTTGCGCACTCTTTTGATAATAAAACGAGACCTACTCAACTCCTTATACTCTGCCATAGTCAAAGCTCTGTACGTGACTGTGGTGTCACCCTCTTGTGTCCAACTCAAACATCTTAGCGCATACACAGGCCCTTCCTTCTTTTCTAAAAATCAATGGGCTTTGTCTACTTACAAATTATGTTTTGGTTCCGGCATGATTCTGCAACAAATTGTCGCAAAAATAGGCACGGATTGAATACTGAAACATTTGAAGCTAAATACAATACGTCTTTTTAGTCTTACAGCAAGCAGCAACTCTGTGAGCCTGAATTATGTCAGGACCGGTTTTAAGGGAGAGCGACCACAAAACAGGGGCTCCATAAAATCCATTTTTTTCCTAGGCGAAAGACGTGTCCAGGTAATCATCGCTGGAAACCGATCACCGATTTTCAAGGGGAAGGCTAGGAGCGAGTCACTTATACGATAGTATAATGCTGACTGCACCGAGGAGCCCAAACAAAAGAAATACACTGACCGTGCCACCTCAGGTACACAGAGTAGGCCCGTCCGCCAGCTCCGCTAGCTTCTCCACCGGCCAAAAACTACTGAGCTGACTATACTTATTTACAAAATTATTGTTTATAATAAAAATGAATTAAATGATATTTAATCTCGAGGAAGTAACGATTGTCAAAAATAAGTTGTTTATTTGAAATCTGACATAAATGAAGTTTCTTATTGAAGTGAATTATACCAGTCACATCAGATCGGTTGAAGGGGGGAAAATACAGACGTCACAGGGAAATGAAGAAGATAAAAGGTAAATGTTCCTGACAGTAGTGACAACTTAGCAATTTATTTATTAAATTACAGACGACGCTTTTGTTGCAGGTGACAGGACAACAAATGTTCAAAATCCTCGGGGGTTTTATATTTGTATAAAAAAAATATATTTGGCACAGTTCATTAATAACATGGCGTGTACATTATTTGTCTTTTCTAGGCTCTATGACACAACAGCTGTTCGACTGTCATGGCTGTTAAAAACATGATGGCGTGTGATTGTGTTCTAGTTTGTGATAAACGCATTCATGCTAAGTTTTTCTTTGAGGAATATGTAAGCGGTTTTCTAAAGCTTCTAGAATAACATGAAGAAACTTCCTCTTCAAAGTCTTCAGTACTCTAATGATGTATATCATGACGGGGTTTGGGTGGAAGGGAGGGGGGGGGGTTATTGTGAGCGCGTAGGAAGGGATACCAACCGTAACAATCACGATGCTTGGTGAGAAAACCGGATGTTCGTTGATCGGCGTCTAAACTTGTGTCATCAGCGGTGACTGTGTTGACCCCAAATTCCATATTTGAAACCTGGAATTCAGTGAAGTGTTCAAACAATGACAAAGACTAAGTAAGTGATTCTGTACAAGACTAAAAGAATACTTTTAATTGAATCGAAACCTCCGATAATAATTACTTTACACATGCTAGCCCTGAAAGCAAGAATTCAACTACGAAAAACAAAAAATACAAATTCAGTTCTACAGAAAATTATGTAAAATAGGAGCAGAGGAAAATAAGGCAATTTCCAAAAATGTTTTTGTTATGTCGTGGAACGAGACACTGCATTGAGGGCTGGTTATCAATTACTGAGTTTTTGTGATACGAAAGTTCTGTGAAAACAGGTCTAAGGAAGAACCAACCAAAGAGTTTTGACTATGACCTTAGTTTAACGTGACTTTGAATACTCTGAATAAATTGACTTCTGATGTTCTTCGCCATCATCTCTGTCTTTTTAAGTCGGGGAGGAAGCACTTAGCAGACAAGAAATTTCGGTCAATAACGACGTAAAAAAGAACGTATTTCGAATCAATGACGACATCAAAAGAATTTTTTTTTTCGAAACCGGAACACAAAAAACTTTCAAGACGTTGAAAAATAAATTCTGAAGATGGAAAAGTGCCTCAGAAACTTATAGCATTGCTTTACTTTTTTAATTATAGCATTGAAATAAACTTCACGTGAGTTGTAAAATCTAACTATAGAAGTTTAAAATTAAATGCATTGAATTGTAAACTTCAGAAATATATTTTACAACATGCGATTATTATTTAATTATTATTCTGTCTGAGGACAGGTCCATATGAACAGGATCCTTCCATCCTTTTCTCGGACTGGGACCTGTTCATATACGTTCTTGGCAGATGATCCAGAAGTGGTTTGCCATTGCCTTCTTCTGGGTGTGAATGGAGTAATTGTTGGGATGCCACAGAGAAACCGGGGAAGCCCCCGGAGGAAAACCCCGTGTTGCCTAGACCACGATCTTGCCCAACACAAGTTATAAATTCCGGCACC